CACAAACACACCAACAGACACACTTAGCCGATTATATAAGTAGGATCACAAAATCATAAAAATCCTCTAACGAACAGACAGACAAACAGACATACCGACAAATCGACGAACCTACAAACCGGTGCGCCAAGTTACTGCTTCATGCATAAGAGAGATATCATATTTCAGGGCACTTTATATGGAGCATCGCGATATTACACCGGAAAGAATAGATGTTTTTTCGTTATTGGCCACAGTGAGTTGGGACGTTTAAGTCATTTATGTGAAGCATAGTAAAGGAGTATTCCAGATTGCATTGCTAGTAGGCATTGTGCTGATGGCGTATTGGTTGGGAACGCTTCTTCATCAAACACTCTCTGCCGATTTTGGTGAGTAAAAAACATCTCGCGAAAGGGCGCAACATACTTGATGTCAATCAACAGATTCTCAGCTAATCCTTCAGACGAGGGCTTTGATTCAACAGCAAGAACTCCTGATTGGCTGGCTGGTCCATTTGGCCACACTGCCAGTGGAACACCTATGGAGATGGAGATCGAAGAGCCTTCACCTTCACTGTCTGAGCAAGAAATTAAGTCAAAGTCATACCGAATATTTTCTACAAGGTCAATCTCTGCTGTGCTCAACATTGACTAGTCGCATCCGACGCCGGCATACTTCCCTTTTTGTGAAATATTCAGAATGCCAGGCTATCGAGAGAAATTGCGTATCAGAAAGAGTGGGGGCAACTAGCGGGGAAGGTTTAGGGGATTTGGAGATGGCTGTAGCTGCAGGTTCAATGCAAAACGCAGTCTAGGCGCAGATAGGGTCTTGTTGCTGGCATTTCACATTCAATGACATCACCTATGATTATTTAGTTTGCACATACATATGTTTGTTATCTACGTAGACATCTGGACCCGTCTGATTACGAAAAAAACACCCCTTGCCTAGCCAGCCGAAGTCCTGAGTGATACCTGTTAACATTATAGTAGGAATAATAACAGCATTATCTATGAGAAATCGCCCATTCCCCATAGACCTTTTCATATTGGTGATCGAACAAGATTTGCCGCAAAAGACGTCCTACTGATCAGTAATCGTGACCACTCCTGGAGCAAGACGGATTTAAGAGTCCCGTGAATTGATTACACAGGACCCGAGTTTTCTCTTGGGCGAGGTGTTTGTACTAGAGCGCGAGTAGTAAAGCCCTTCAAGCTTCATCTTTATAATCAGAAATTTGAACAAGGCGACATTGAATCTTCCATATGTCTTCATTAAATAAAAACAAAATAAAAAAAGTAGTAATTGAAAGACCAAGAAAAAGACAAAGACAGAAAGAAAAAAGAATGAAAGAAAAGTGAATGAGTGAATGAATCGATGAATGGATGAAAGAGATGAAGAGACAGAGAAAGAAAGAAAGAAACAAAGAAAGAAAGAAAAAAGACAAAAAGAAAGAAGGAAAGAAAGAAAGAGAAAGAAAGAAAGAAGGGAAAAGAAAGAGAAAGAAAGAAAGAAAAAGAAAGACGGAAAGGTAAGAAAGATAGCTAAAGAAACCGAGAAGATAAATGAGTCTCCTAGAATCAAGACTAACAAATTATTGGTTTTGAGAGTTAATGTCGTGAATTTCTGTTCTATCAGAGGTAGATAGGTTATCTGATCTTTGTAGCTACCATTGAAAGTTTGGAGAAACCCCTTGATCATTACATCTCCTGCACCTGCTTCGCTCTCACTGTCGCTCTCGTTCAAAGTTGGGAAGGAAGAGAATATAAACAACTTTCACTCAATGTGCCGTGTTGCAGTTCAGTTCCTCTACATGTCCATTGCGAGAAGCAGTCGAATATTTCTCTGCTCATATATCTTGCTTTTCTTAGTTTCGATACCGTTGTTTCACCTCATAAACTTGAAAACTGTGTGGTTTCCACCTTTGCTCCACCTCTAGCTAAACAGGTATATGTGCGAGAATATGTGTACAAAGCGCTATCAAAGATTGATGAGTACGAATGGAGATAGGGTAAGCTCAGAAAGTTCAGTGAGCGAAAGTTTAGGACGATGCTTGAACTGAAAGTCGGATAAAGTAGCATACACCTGTAATTAAAACATACCCGGATTTGGACGGTCTTCTCTAAAACCAATAAAATCTATCAGATACTTTTGTTCTAGTTTTGCTCGTATGATTCCCTATCTTTTAATTCACCGGGTTATTCTTCCTAATCTCTTTAGTTCACATTTCACTTCAACCTGGGATAGTGGGAACATGGCGATAATTGCCCTTAGTGACAAATGAGACCTGTCTTGTTGCTCCTAACAAAGAAGAAATTCAAAAGAGGAGGCTCGAAGGGTCCTAGCAATCGCACTCTAACGTTCGTGGTAATACATTTGAAAGGAAGAAGGTACAATCCGTTGCCCTCATCACAAGTGCTGCTGCAGAGCATCTTCCATGAGTTTGTCCCTCAACTTGATTTGCCTCACCTCTCGTACTGGATAAGAGAACAGGCTTGATTGGTTCATCCATACCTCAATCATTCAAGTTTTCATGGCCCAGACACCTCTACCACCGGTGAATAGCCCACTTACAGCATCAAAAGTATTGCGCTTCTCGAATAGCTTCCCCTAGGCAGTCAAAAATCATTCTCGTGCACGCTTAGCCAGAAAAGTTGTCTTTCTCCCATTCAGCTAGAGTTCAGCCAGAAACATCTTGTTCTCAAAGCGCTCTCCATAGAGGTGGCCGTTGTAACCAACAAACCGACACACCAAGTCACTGCTTTATAAATAAGAGAGATATCAAGCTGCTTTAAATGACTAATCAGTACAGTTTAACAAATACATATCGTTTAAGCGACGGATATATGGAACAACTTGAAGTTACCCGTGTTGGAAGAGATGCGGTTGGTTCCTTGTGTATTGTTTCTTTTCTAATGAACCGGTCGGATCTCCCAACTTCCAAATAGCTAATCCAATCCAATAGCCTTCTTTCTCAACAAATAGGACAACCACGCACTTTTCTCTTACACAGAATGATTCCACGTTTCTCGTTGTCCTTTCTCCGAGAACAAAATTTTTTGAGGAAGAACTCACAGAAATAAGGCCTCCAGCGAGTGATGGACTCTACAATAATATATGCCGGATGAACGACTCCTACCTTTACTATTTTCTTTCCTTTTTCCATTTTTCTCTTTTTGTTTCTTCTTCCTTTTGACCAACTCTTGACCATCAGATGTCGGCTTCTTCAGTCTAAAAACACCCGCTAACGTTTTCTACTGCTCGATGGAATTTTGCGCTGGAGCTTTCATTACTCTTCACTAAAATTTACATAAAAATATATATATGAGTGGCACGTTTGCATGTGCACACGGCTGAGAGTGTCCCCTTTCCCCACGTGGCAGAGGCTGGCAAGCTATACGTGGATACTCATATGCCAAAAAAATGTCAAAAATGCCATATGTCATAAGAATGGGCCTTACTTCCCTAAATCCGAAGAAGCCCCCAATACCCCAGCCCCCAATTGGGTAGGACCGCTTGGGAGAGGCTGCTAATATCTTAAGACCACGAAAGGCTGCCTGGAAAAAGTAGAACTAAGATGGCGATCATGAAGAAGCAAGCTGCAGCAGCAAGCTGAAGATGAAGCAGCATCAAGCTAGGAAAAAGAAGTATGGCGTCATCGGATTGAAGGAGACGGGAAGGCACCGCTTGCTGCCGCTGCACTTATGATTGGAGAATAGCTATTCCTTAAAACATGCTATGGCAAAGCATGTTTTGTGTCCTCGTCAAACGCACTTGGCCATGGACATCGACTCGTAAGAAGGCTTGAGATCTCGATAGGAGGTTTGTGATTGAGAATATGCGGCTCAAGCACAGCTCAGACATTCTTCGTTGTGTGCGCCTCATCGAGCTACGATGGAAAAAGAGCTAGAAGCGTTTTATATAGATATATGGAGAGGTTCCACAGAGAAGATCACACTCTCTCCGAGGTCATCGTCGGTGATTTTAGATGGGCCCCAGAAGAACAGCTGAGGAGCTCTACATCGAGGCACACGGAATGGAATGGAATGAGCAGGGTAAAAGGCTGTCCGCGTTTATCATGTCGATTCACACTACCTTAGGAATTCGTAGTTCTAGAAGCGCTCCCATTTGAGATGATCAGGCAAATCACTTGATGGTCAGCTCTATAACGAAATAAAGCACATCACCGTCATTCGAAAGTTTTGCCTGACGTCGCTGTTGTTTTGAAGTTCTACACGGGATTAGACACACCTCCTCCTAGGTTATTGGAATTCTGCTTTTCAATGCATTGAGAGAGAGCTGTAAAGTTCAGGAAAAGAAGGCTTTTGTGGCTGTTGTCAACCGGGATCACTGGGCGTCTCGCGAGTCTCTGGGAAGGTCCGTCAGCGGCAACATCGATGAAACATACAACCGGCTCGTCGAACTTCTTCACGTGTGTCACGGAAGCAGAGAATCTGAAAGATGCCGAGAAACACCTCTCTCTGAAGACTCGAGCTGATACAGCAGTGTGAAATCGCGCAAGCTGCAGGCATCAACCAGCTAACGCCCGAATATGCGTAGCGATGCAGAGAAGCGATAAGGCAAGATCTGAAAGAGAAAAGAGCAACAGCCTGGCGGAAGCTCCCGAGGCTGGTAAGAGCATTCGCAAAGCTCGAACATTCGCAAAGCCCAAAGCCCCGAGACCGAACGTCGTCCTGAGAGGACAATTATTGCATCTCGAAGGGCAGCGAAGAAGGTCTCCTACAGCCTCTACTCTGATCTCTTTGACAGCCGCGTCAACATGCCTATCTACCGTCTTAAGCAAGACGAATATATCACTCTTTCGGTTTTCTCTTCCAACATTCGACATGCCATCACTCAATGAAGAATTGTTCGGCGCCTGGTCCTGATAGAATGAAACCAGAAACTTTAAAGAGCATTCCGTTATCATTGTCATAGCTCTGGCCCTGTTCTTCACGCAATTCCTAACGTTATGCAAGGTGCCCACTCCGTAAAAGACTAGCAAGAATGAGTTCATATATACGTACATGCACATGTATATACATACAGTCTATCAAATTCACACTAACTGCTATTAATTGGTTACATAAAAAGGTTTCTTCGCAATATGCATCGTTACCGGTGTGGAACCCCCAATATCTTTAGATGAAGAACGCTCATTTAATGCCACTTGCAATCATTGACACACGAGAAATGGAAGGGCATTTTGAAATTCCTTGAGATTCTTATAATAACCGTATAAAAGCCTAATAAACGATATAGAAAAGAAGATTAAATCCGGGACAAACCAGAAAAGGTAGGAACGCCAATGTTTCTAAGGATGGAACTATTAAAATGGTCCGTCTGTCAGTTGGTCTGGAACCCGGTGACCCATCAAAAGGAACTCAACGGGCTTAACGAAGTTACTGCGATTAAGTTACGAAGAATGTCACGCAAAAGCTTTATTGTAACTCCTGTCGTATGCAGTAATTTCGCTTCAATTCCGATCTCAACAGACACTTACGGCGAAAAATTGCAGAAAGTCGCAGACCTACTTGGGTGATGACAAGCAACCATTCATTTTTTCTCTGGCCAAAAAATTTTTTATCTAGCGTGAAATCTGTCACAAAGAGGTTACTATAAGAACAGCAAAATGATGCGCTTCGCCTCAATTC